CCCTGGCTCCCAGTACATCCCAGTTCAGCCCAGTGTGTCTCTGAGCCTGTCTTTCTCCCCAGCCTCCTGTGGTTGAGAAGGTGGTGGGGCTTGTTCGTGAGAAACGTGTGGCTGCATCCCTGGATGTCTGAGGTGAGCAGTGCCTGCAGGGAGAGGGGTCAGGACAAGGCCCCTCTCAAGTCTCATTGGACATCAGGGGGTGACATTTTGGGCTCTGTCTTTCAGGACTGGAAGTGGTGGTGACACCTGTGCCCTGTCTCTCTCCAGTGGCATGAGGAGATGATCATCCCTGGAAGAACCCCCTGATTTCCCTCAGAGCCCAGGGCCATTTCCCCTGAATGATCAATAAATCCCTTCAGCAAAGCTACTCTCCTTGATCTTGTGTGTGTGTTCCCATCTCCATGTGTGTGTTCCCATCTCCATGTGTGTGTTCCCATCTCCATGTGTGTGTTCCCGTCTCCGTGCCTGCATTCCCATGTCCCTGTCCCCTCCTTCTCCAGCCCCTGCACACCTGGTACCTCTCTGGCCGCACACCTGACATGAGCAGAGAGGCTCAGGGGGCTCCTGGGGGTCTCTGCACACAAGATCCCCTTCACCCCCTCCATGTGCATTCTGAGCAGCGCAAGTTGGGGCATCATGGAATGTCCCTCCTGGGGGCTGGGACAGGCAAGGGGCACATGGGGCAGCCCCTGGAGCACCTGGACCTCCCCTGTGCTCTGGGAGGGATGGGAAAGGGGATCAAAGGAGCCAGTGGGTGTCAAATGCCCCCAGATATCAAGGGACAGGCTCGGGGCTGAAGGGATGGAGAGCAGCCCTGCATCCAAGGACATGGGGATCATCACCATGGCTGGGCTTCGCAAACGAAGATTTAGGAAGGCTCTATCCACGTTTGTTACAAGCACGCTGGTGGCTAATAAGGCCAATATGAGATAGACATATCCGATTGCTAAAGGCACAGCAGAAAGACTCCTTAGGTGGTATATTCTGCAAGACACGGTTCTTTCTGCGTTGTCTTTTCTCCTCAAGGGTGATCCTGGTGCTTTCTCAAAAGCATCAGCAGCGTTATAGATGGTGTGTCTCCAGGTCTCCCAATTGGAGGCCAGAGTAGACCAGTTATGATGATCAATATGGCTGAGGCTGAGATGTTGTTTCAGGGAGTCCTTGTATCTTTTCTTCGGGGCTCCTCTCTTGCGGCAGCCGGTGGCAAGTTCACCATAAAGCAGGATCTTAGGGAGGCGGTGGTTGGTCCTTCATCCTGGAGACGTGCCCTGCCCAGCACAGCTGTGTTCTCAGCAACATGGCCTCAATACTTGTGACTGCTGCCTGTTCAAGAACAGATGTATTGATCACATAATCTGACCAGTGGATGTTTAGGATTGTACGGAGGCAGCGTTGATGGAAGCGTTCTAGGAGACGCAGGTGGTGGCGGTAGATGACCCATGATTCAGATCCATATAAGAGAGTAGAAAGCACTAGGGCTCTGTAAACACTGATCTTGGTACTTTTCTTCAAGTGTTTATTTCACCAAACTCTTTTATGAACCTTTCCGAAAGCTCTCTATGCCTTTGCTAACCTGTTGTCTATCTCCCCGTCAATCTCACCATCCCAGGAGATGAGGCTGCCCAGGTAATTAAACTGCTGGACTGATTTGAGCTCTGATTGGCCGATGGTGATGTGGGGATGATGGGGGACTTCCCAAGGTGCAGGTTGATGGAGAACTTCTGTCTTCTTTAAACTGACTTCCAGCCCAAAGAGCTCAGCAGCATCTGCAAAGCAGGATGTTAAACGCTGCAGAGCTGCTTCTGTGTGGGCAACAAGGGCGGCGTCATCAGCGTAAAGCAGCTCCCGGACAAGATGGTTTAAGGTCTTGGTGTGGGCCTTCAGTCGCCTTAGGTTGAATAGGCTTCCATCAGTACGATATCGAATGTAGATACCGTCCTGATCATCGAGGTCTGCCGTGGCCCTTTGGAGCATCCTGCTGAAAAAGACTGTGAATAAGGTAGGAGCGAGAACGCAGCCTTGTTTCACACCATTCTTTATTAGAAAGGGCTCAGAAAGTGTGTTGCCATATCTGACTTGGCCGTGCTGATCCTCATGGAGTGAGATGATCATTTGAAGGAACTTGGGGGGACAACCTAAACGTTCCAAAATCTGCCAAAGACCTTTTCTGCTCACAGTATCGAAAGCTTTGTGTTTTTATTGAGTTCAAAAATACAAGAAAAAGCAGAGGCTCTGGGATTAGTTTTGCAGAACTGGTGTAAACAAGAAGCAGCCCATAGCTTCACTCTGTCAAGTGCAGGTTGTCCTTTCACACATAAATCTGTTTGACCTCAGAGGAAAACAGGAAGACTATGAATGAAGGTAAGTATCTTCCCAAACCCTTAAACCTTTAAAGACTTTCCTTAGAGTTACTGGAAAAGGGTTTGTAGGAACAGGATGTGTCGTTTTTCCTTTCACTTCATTTGAAGTTACGACAAAGATGTGCTTCTTCCTCAGATTTAAATTATTTCTATAAAAATAAAGGCACCTATGGTTCACCATTTTGTGTGTCTCAGACTCCCAGCCCTGTGAGATAAGAGAGGTCCCTTTCCATGTACAAATGCACCATTTCTTCATCTGCACAACAGACACAAAGATAACACAAGTAGGTTATTTCCTCAGTTCATCTGAAGGGAAAATGGATGAAAAAGCCATGAAAGTCATGGAAGATTGTGAGAATTTGATATTGATTGCAGTTGTAGTGGTGTGATCAGGTGG